AATACCGAATGTTGTATGTGCTTAGCGCAGTGTTAAAGCACGTGTCTTCAGAACATAAGGTCCGGGGGTTTGAGTCCCGGCCGGATCTTGTCTTTTCGATATAGGAATTTGTTTTCTGAAAACCTGAATCGTCGGACCATTTTTGTCTGATTCATTTTTGCATGCTCAATGTGCACAACATGTTTTTTTGCTAAGCATCAATTTTTCCTAAGTAATTTTAAATATAATTACGCTTGCGATTAGCAATCGTTTTTAAATCGGAATGTAGAGTTTTTTCGGGTTAACAACTAGTTTAACAAAGTCAGTTGAATCATTTACGATGCTGACATGCTCAATTTCATGAAAATTCAAATTTAACTACCGCATGTTAGGGCACTAATTATTACTGCATGCTATATCTAGAACTATTGTATGTTTGATTATTACCCTTGCGAGAGTATTTCAATCAGGTACTAGACTTTTTTCAGGATGATCTCCAATTTCAATATCTCCATTTTCAGCACGTTGCACTCTGAACTGCAGCAGTCGCCCCTCTGTTGAAAACTGTGAAAGACAAATTTTGAGTATGTTGGCTTTTTGAATATACGTCCTATTTGAAGTTCGCTTTTTAGGTTGTTTGCACTTTTTCCAACTTTTTTTATTTCATTTTTTTAAATTTTTTTTTCTCGGTTTCGTAATATTGGCCTATTTCATTTCGGCTCATTGGCCTCATATTGCGTCCTTTAATAAGAAAAAATGTGTACGTATGTGTGTAATGAAGGGGATGAGACTTAAACAACTTTTTATCAGTTTTTTAGTATTTTTTATTTTGTTTTCCCTTTTTCTTCTTGGATTAATAAGTTTGGGCCTATTTTATATCGACTTATTAGCCTTAGACTTTTTCATTTCATGAGAGAAAAAATTGTTTCTATTGAAGGGGATAGGGCCTTAACAACTTTTTTGTAGTTTTCAAGTCTTTTTTTTTAATTTTTTTTTGTTCTTTTTTTATCGGATTGATTAGTCGGCTTTTGTTTAGAGCTTGATATTTTCTTCTGATTCTTTTTTACCTTCTATTGTCTTCGTGTGAGTTTTTGATACTTTTTTATTCGTTTTGATAAACATCGGCTTTTTTCTTTTTGAGTTTTTTTTTCGATTTATTGGCTGTTGTATAGCAAGTGGTGCGAAGCTCGGGCTCGCCTCTGTAGACTTTTGACATTTATTTTTTTCTGATGATTTCACGGTTGTCGACCTAATCTCTTTCGGTTTAGTTTCCAAGTTATTTAGTCTACTATGCACACGCTACATATTTTTGAAGCTAAATACATGTTTTTTTACGAAATTTTGGCGGCGTTTCAGCTTATTGGCTGTCAGGTTCAATTCTGTCGGCCTATTTACCGATTTTTTTCTCTCTAAAAACGTGGTATTTTTGAGATCGATTGAGACTCTGGCACCAATTTTTCATTGCCTAAATTTAACCCCAATCGGCCCTTTTTGAAAAATTTCTAAACACGAAAAAAATGCCTTCTTGTTTTTTCTTTTCCCACTTCCTTTTGCAATTGTTACATCGTTTGAAGTTCTGTTTGCTATTTTTTGTGCATTATGGTTCACTCATCCTATAATTGTTTTATCGCTATCGGTATTAGGCAATCAGTGTTTAGGGTTTCGCAATCGGTGTTCAGGCTTTTTTCCCGTAAATGTCTTTGTACATAATGAATTCATTTTTTTGCTTGGCATGCACACTTAGTCTTGGGTTAACGAATACGCCTAGGACGTCAAAGGTCCTGGGTTCGAATTGTACAGTGCCTGTTTGTTTTCGAACGGAAAGTATTCCATTAAAAAAATTACCGGCTCTTTTTTGCTAATCCTTTGTTGGCTTAACTGCCACGTAGAATTATTTTCTTATGCCGTTCGCAATTTCAATTGTTGTTGCTTTTAGTGTTTTGATTTGCATCTGCTGTTAGTAGTTTTTTTAATCTTGATTTCGTATATTTTCGTTTTTTGTCGCCTAAAAACTTCATTTTGCCTGAATGGTTTTGGCTTATATTTGATCGGATAGTTTCAAGGGAAACATATTTTTATGCTACCCTCTACATCGCACAAAATGCTAATTTTTAATAGAAATTTTATTTTAAATTTTTTCATGTCAACTTTACCCAAGTTTTGTCGGCTCAGTTGCCGCTCGATAAATGTTTTCGGATTTTCATAAAACGTCGTTGATTTTGTTTCGGGACCCGTTTTCAGCAAATAAAACATCATTCCAGACCAAATCCTGAATACTTGTGGTTTCTTTTTTTTTTTGATTTATTGGCTATTCTTTACCTTGTTCTCTGCTAACTTGCAATGCTATTTTTCTGTGGTATCGCATTAACACTTCGCTTCGCCTCTGTGTTATTCATATTGTTTAGATTTGTTTTCGTTTCCTGATAAGTAGGTTTGACTCATGCTATATCTGTATAATGGCCTCATTTTGCGTTGTTTCTAATGAAAAACTATATGTTTTTTTTTGCGTTTCGAAGAATAGAGCGTAAAATTCTGATTGAAAAATTTTATAGTTCAAATTTTTCTATGTTATCATTCTGTTTCCAGTTGAACTGGCGTCTTACCAGTATTGATGGCTTATTTGTCACTCGGCAAATGATTTTAAATGCTATCTGAACGGCAGTGATTGTGTTTCTTTTTTTGTTCTTGCATATTTTCTCCTTAATGAAGATCATTCTAGTCAAACTTGTAGTCAAATTCTAGTTTTAAAATTTGTTTTGAGTCAGTTGCTTCCGTCTCAATTTTTTCAGCTTATTCTTTATTCTTTTTGTTTGTGTTTTATCGCAAGTGTTGCTCCAATGTGCCTCAGTGTTTAAAAGCGTCAATTGTCTTCATCATTATACCTTGAATAATGCATGAGCTCGAACCAAGGAGCCATTTTCGGATCGCATTTACTGCCTTACGTAGTTTAGTGCTAATTTTTCTAGGAGTTAGGGAATTCGTCGTTTTTTTTGCTAAATTCGATACTTTTATTTTTGATTTGTATAAATTTTTGGAATGACAAGTTTTTAGTCAATGTAATTCGAAACAAACTCTTGAACGTTATTCATTAATTGCGCTTTTAACGACAAGCAGATTTTTATGGAAAAGCACGTTGTTTGTTTGGTAATTGTGGTTTATTGATACGGATTATGGCAATGAAAATCTCAGCCGAATTTAGAGTTTTCTAAGCTAACGATGCCATGACCTAGATCATATTAAGTAGAATTTTGATAAAAACACTTTTCTAAAATTTCAACGATACTATCATCCAGCATATATAAAGATCGCAGAATCATGGGCCCGATATTGAATTTCAGTGAAACTTAAAGCGAAGATTATCAGTTACTGAAAAATAAACCTGGGACTAATAAATGTCTTCAACAATCGGAGTTGAGTTTTTGTAGTTAGAGAGTGCTCGATTTGATTGAATTCAAGTTAGTAAAAATAATTGAAAGGCAAATTTTTTCCATCGATTTTTTCTTCAACAATACCACGTGGATACGTTTCTGCTTATTCAAGGTTATTCAAGGCCAACTATTCTAAGTTAAACAACAACAGCTGCATTGTCCTGAACTCCTGATAGTTCACAATATGTATCAAATATATGCTTTAAGTGTTTTTGATTATGTACCAGCTGAGTAATAGGTATACAGTTCAGAAATAAGATAGAAAATGGCATTTAATCTATTTTTTTCCTTTTGCTTGTCAGTGCTTGATGTAGCTTTTTTAAACCGCTACTGCTCTTTTTAAGAGAATCATTGTTGCAGTAAATGCATCCTGGAGTGGATGCCTCTAAAAGACGACGTACCCAAAAGCAGATATTTTTGACTTAAAGAGAACATTAGAAGATGGACAAGTAAAAGTTGGTTGTTCACCCAAAATTGTGTTCAAGAATATCGGAAATATTTGTTGAGACGATTCAGCCAAAGTTTTGGACTTTTTGAAGGGTTTTGATAGGTTGAAAATTTTCTATGAGCGGGACTTTCTGCCACGAGGATAGCAGCAGGAAAAAATGGCTTGATATGATTGAATAGAAATGTAATTGAAAATGGTGCGACTAGTACATTTGGTCACTCTTTTTTATCTGCTCAGCCTAGCGCACAAACCCCTAGCTCATTTGTCAGCCCTCGTGAAGGCCAGCGCCCTCCCTGCCTGTGGCAAGTTTTGCTAAAAGAAAGGTCTAGACGAAGACTGTAAGCCGCGGGGCCTCAAGGCATCTAGTCTCTTTTAATCTTGCAAATTATAGATTTTTTTGTACTAGCTAGGCAATTTTTTCGAACCTGACACCGCCCATACCTTGATCTGATGCAAATTATGAACCAACATATGGCCAACTTAAAGGTCCTTGGAGGCTCTTTTTGTTTGTTATCATCAAGTGATTGAAGATATTAGGCGTATTTTTTGAATATTAATCATTTTGCAGCATCATCATGTTCATCTATTTGAGAAGAACTTTAAAATGTTTTTAATGAAGGGTCGGGCATCTTGTTATGGTACAATGTAAATCGAGCTATTACATCGATTGAAATGTCCAAGTTTGGCTGTAACCCTTGTAGGTTTAATGTCTTGAGTGCTAAATGCAGCTCTGAAGCAGCTCTCACTTTTAATAGCAACGGGAAAACGCAATTGGCATGGTGTTCGATTGGTGCGGTAATGGTACCTCGGCAGATTTGACTATATAAGCTTGGCTGGTTGCAAAATGAAATTACGTAATGGCGGTGGGAAAAGGGAGGGAAGGGGGAAATAGGTGCTGCTGCGTGGCTTGCCGGTAGCGAGCGGGACTTCGCTCTAAAACGGCAGGCAGAGGAAATAATAAAATTGGTCTAAAATGGTGCAATACATGTCTGTTCTGTTGTGTATCATACATATTCTACTTGCTCTTGTTGTGCAGTGCTGCTGCTACTACTGTGTAGTTTTGTGTTGTGTTTAAACTGCCTTCGTGCGCCTAACGGTCTACTCGACTCCTGGTGGCATAATGCAGTTAGTTGTATTTTGTGGCGGCTCAACTACACTGAACTGAGCTGAACTGTCAAGACTTACCAATATTTCCCTCTTTATGACCAGAACCGTGGAGTATAACTATAACGGCAGTGCTGTTTGCATAATTCTCTGCTTTGCTCTGTATGATAGAAAGAAGAAAGTGCACTTTACTCCTTCATTTCTCTTGCTCTGTTTTTCTTCCCGTTTTTTTCTATCGTGCTGCTGTATTGGCGTTTTATTAGTGCTGTTTTTGCTGCTTCAATTAACTTGGGCCCGCCGTTTTTTTCCTATCAACTCCTGATACCATTTTTACTATTCGCTCTTCTGTTTAAACCCACAAATTCTCAATGAGAACGTTGCCCAATACATCTTTCCCCGCTATGCTTTTAATTTTCCGTAAACCAGTGTCTGCAGCCCATTAAAGTCGGGTTAAATTTTCCCTACATCTCAAGATGCCTCCTTTTAATCCCTCATTTTGTTCAAGTTTTCCCTGCCAAAAGTGAACAAACGTTTTTTTTCTCTGATGTTTTCCACCATAAGGGTCGTGTTAAAGTTGATAACGGACCCTCCTCTCATAAGCTTGATGCAAACATAATTACACCCCGTTCAAACTGTGTTGCACTCACTGCTGCCATCTATTTTTTCTAACAATCGTCGTGCGTTCAGCTGACGTAAAAGAAGTTAAATAATTATCATAAAGCTCATAACCACTTCACTTCGTTGCATCAAATAAATTGCATCATTTTTGTTTTGTATTATGTGTTTCTTCATTCAAATCGACGGTGACTAAAATTTTATCTTATTTGAACGTTGGAGCTGCAGTTGGTTTGAACAAGTCTAAGATAATAGTCGATAGACGCTACCAATTTATTATCAATTCTGGAATAGTTTTATAATATTTTGTCAGGCTAATCAACAGTCCAGCTGCAATTTTTAACTCCTTTGCTTAAAGTTTTGGGTTACATCACGAATATTATGCCGGAAGTTCTCGTCATTATATTCTAAACATAGCGGCTAAATGTCACTCCGCATTATTGGACATAGAATCAGCCACAATTAGCAAGGAAGTAAATGTCATGGCAGTCGAAAGCTTAAAGGTTTTCATTTCTATCCGCCCGGGGGTTTTGTGTAACCTTGATATCATTTCACCGCCCAAAAATGGTTACTTAATTCTGACTTGAGCGAATTACTAAATTGGCTCACATTATTTTAGTTCACGCGGATGTTTGATTAGTTTTATGCAGCCTAAAGAAGTTCTTCTGTTGTTTGCACTTGACCTTTCCAATTTAATTCGTATTTGATTTCATTTATTGCAGATATAGAAGTTGACTTGCATCAGAATTGATTGGTGAGCACAAGTTATTCACCTTCACATGAAACTGATCTTGAAGCTTCGTCGAAAAAGTCGCCAAGAATTACATTTGCGAAAGCAAGTGTCTTGTAATCGGGAATACGACTTTTTTCCCCCGTTTACAACTTTTTAACAACAAATTTTTAACTTGCTTTTTTTTCTTAATCTTAACAACTTCCAGGTTCCTTCGCACTTGGCCATCGTCTTTGAAACCTGAGTTCTGCGGTATGATTCCTGGCCGGACCTTGTTTTTTTTCAGTATGCAATCGAAAAAAAATTTCCGGTAAAAGTTCATTTGTCGGACTTTCGTTTATCTACTTGAGTTTTCTCGACTTATTTGTCCCATCACGAATTTTTATTGTGCTGTACATAGTAGTTGCAAGTGTTGTTCATTCTAGTTTCAAGGGAGACTCGAAACTTTTAAAAGTTTTTTGTATAATCAATTTTATTTGGCTCAACTGGTGTCTGCTCAAAGATCGTCGGCTTTGTTTCCGCCTCGTAAGTTTTGTTCCGTTGCTAAAATAGAATTTAATTGTCTTGCTTGGTATGTTTGCCTAGAAATCCTGTTCGATAAAAACAGTTTGTTTTGAAAATGTATTCTTTACTTTTGGCTTTTTCTTTTACTTTTTTGAGCTGCTTGGGAACATGTTTTCTGTTTTAGCAAAAAATTTCAGTTCTCAAAAATTTCAAGCAATTTTGAAAAAACGGGTATCAGAGGAACTATCACCTAATCCTCTGTGTGCCTGCATTCTCCCCAGTCGCTTTTTACTGTGTTACTCTGTATACAGCCTTCGAAAAAGTCTGTATGGAGAACATTTATTTGACCCATGTTTTTGATTATTTTTCGCTTTCTCAAAAACAACCCTACCAAATCTTGGATTTAAGTTTTAAAGTTAAGAACGGATTTCAAAAGCTCCTTTGCTTAAGCCGCTAACCCAAAATTAATTTTCATTTCAACCTATGGCCCTCGGAGTAGCCAAATTTCAGATTTTTTGACCGTTTTTTGAATCTTTTTGACTTTTCTCGAAATAAACTCCCAAATCTGAGATGGAGATTAAATGTTTTTTTCATGAAGGTTATGGTTTATGGGAAGCTCCACTGTTTTACCGGAGTCTCTTATTTTTAACGCAAAAAGTTATCGCCCTCGGAAAAGTCGAATTTTTCGAAATTTCTCGGAAGGCACCCTCCCATATCTGAGATTTCGGGTTCAATCTAAAGAACCGCTGTGGAAAAACCGTTTGTTCAATCGAGAAACCGGGCTTCGGGATTTGTCTCTCTTTAGCGGTCACGATCTGCTTTTTAAAAAAGTTAATGAAAAGTTAATTTTCTTCTGATTTTGAGCCAAAAAGTTGCAGTCAAAACAAGCTGTTAATTCAGCAATGAATATGGTAATGTGAGCGCTTTGTTTGAGACGAAACTGATTGATTACATAGCTGTCTAACAAGCTCAACTCTAGGAACATCGGTTGTAGTTTATTTTTTTAGATAGTTTGTACCGGAATGAAAGAATTGGTTAAGATTTCAAATGAAATCTAGGGCCGTAAGCGTGATTACAGCTACATTTGAGTGTTTAAAAGGAGTTATTGCCAATTTTTAGAGGTGATTTCGGGCCTTGGGTTTCTATTTTCCACAAACTGAAAGTGAGATGGAATTTTTTATTCGGTTTAGGTTTCATTTTTGCACGCAAAATCAGGCAACTAATCTTCAGAATGGATCGAGCGAGATATATTAAATTCCTTTAAGACTTGATTCGAACGACAATAAAATTCACTGTGTCGAGTAAAAACCGGTTGGAAATTTTCGCGTTTTAATCTCATTTCCAGCAAAAGAAGCGAGCGAAAACCGTTTTCTTGTTGAAAATCGATAATATATGGTTGTGCTTGGAAATTTTAGTGTTACTTGCACAGCAACCGGTTTCAGCTGGAAAATCCTGGTTTATTTTTCAAGCGAAGTTTTTGATTTGCGTCTTTGCTATAAAGGTTTACAATCAGCTACTAGTTTTTTGCCCGTCTGCTTTTCTAACAGAATGGTCAATTCAGGCAGAAATTGAACTTAGACAGTCATTTTTTCAATGTTTCATTACGTACGTGGCGCTAAGGTAACGCATCTGGCTATTGCTAAACAAATATGAGGTTGGTCCTGGCGGGATTCTTTGTTTTCGGCCTATTGGTGCTCGTCTCAATTCCGACTATTGAAAATGGGGAGAACTTTAAGTTTTAGTTTTTTTCTTTGTGTTTTCCACGCAAAATCAGTTACCAAAAATAATCATCGGAGAGAATTGAGTGGTATGTCAAATTAAAGCCCTTTAAGTCGTGATTCAAAGGGCTCTAAAAGTTTTTTGAAATTTTCCAAGTGTTGAGAAAAACTGCTTTAAAATTTTTGATATTTAGTTCATTTTCGAGCAAAAAACTCGATCGAGCAACGTTCGTTATTTGGTAATTAACTTTTTTTGTCATTTTAGGCCCAAAAACTTATTTTGGATGTTTCTTTTAGCGCTTATTTGACAATAAAGATTTTCAAAATATTAAACTATTGTGCAAAACTTGCACTAATATTTTTTTTTTTCATTTTTTTTTATTTGGTATTCATTGTTTGAAAACAAGTTTTTTTCGATCATGCTTAATTCAATCATGCTTGTGCTGCGGATGTTTCAAATGCTTTTTTGTGTCAACTTTAGTAATTGTTTTTGACGTGCTTCCTAAATTTGAGCTCACATGAAAATAGTTTTCTGTAAAAATACTTTTTTCTGTAAACAATTCTTGAATGAATTTTTGGGGTAATCTAATTATTTCAAGTGTATGAATAATAATTCCTTTTTGTATCTTTTTTTCGACTTCTTTACCAAATATTTGGAACGAATAGTGTGTTTTTATCTTCTGATTTTCATTGGTTGTCGAAAAATCACAATGGGTCAAATGTGGTGTCATATTAAAGCCCTAAAGTCAGTGATTTGGGTTCCAAAAGATACAAGTTCTCTAAGTGTTGAAACAAAATGATCTGAACTTTATTTTTCAGACTAAATTGAGACCAAATTTCGCTGCGCAATTTTTTTGTCTTTTTTTCACAATTATTGTCAATTTTTGCGATGCTTTATCTTATTCATGTACCCTTCTATTATAATAAACAAACGAATGCAGATTGAAGTTATTTGGAAATTTTATATTTGAATATTTGACTTTTTATTCTTCGAACTTCTTTGTTAAAAATACTGCGACCGCGTCATTCTGTGCTACTTGCACAGCAATCGGAGCTCCATTTTGTGATTTGGATTGGTTGGCTTCCGGGAGCTCATGTATTTTTTGTTGTTTTTCAGTGTTCGCATTTAGTGGTCCAACCATTTGAAAAATGGGGAGGAACTTCGTGTTTGGTTGTTTTAGTTTTTCTTTTTATTTTCCAACGCAAAACCAGATGCCACAAACAATTATGGGAATAGGTTGAATGATATATTATTATAAGACACTTTCTATTATGGTATGAACGATTTAAAAAAATCACAAAAATTATCTAAAATCAGGTTTAAAGTCCTAATTTACAGTACTTTCATGCATTTTTTTTGTTCTGGCCATTTAGTTTTTTCTCTTTTTTTGCTTCCCTCGCAAATTCGGGTTCGACAAATAATCATCGGAATGGGTCGAGTGTTATATTATATATGAAAGCCCTTTCAATTGTAATTCTGAAAACATTTTAAAAAAATTTGAAAATTTTTTCTTCGTGTCGTGAAAAACCCTTTTGAAATTTTTGATTTTTGGTCCAATTTCGAGCGAATAATGCGAGTCAACAGGCTCACAATAGCCTATTTTTGCTCAATTTAGGCCTTTAAAACTTGGTTTTTCTTAAGTAAAGTTGTTTGTGGAGTTTTTTAAGCGCCATTTGCAAATTAAACACTACAACTTCAAAGAAATTCTGTGAAAAAAAAACTGATTTTTTTTTGTTTTTCAGTCATTTTTTTTTACAATTTCTTGCCTATTTTACTGTGACTGTCGAATTTTTCTAAGTTCCTTTTTTCGTTAGATTATTTATTTTATCACGCAGTAAAAAAATGACACTAATTTGAAAAAAAAAACTTTTTGTATTTATTTTAGACCATTGTCGGAACATTTTGTGCTACTTGCACAGCAACCGGCTATCCTTGTATCTTTCTGGCTTTGTTCCCGAAAATGATCTTTTGCTTCATTGATGTCCTTTCGTAAGCTTTGTATGGTAAGTGATGGTTTTAGCAAATGGATGACTAATTCTCGATTTACTGGAATGCTATTCAATGAAATTAATAAACCTTTCTTCAAGCGTTCAAGTTCTGACCTTTTTAGCCATTTCTACTAATGTTTGCCGTTGCCAAGAAAAATAGTAATTAAAAGGTTTTTATTTGTGAGCTATTTATCGTTACTTTTAACTCTTTACTCAACGGCGTCATTAAATTTATTTTTTTACTTTGGTGGTAACGGTAAAGCAGTGAGAAAGCAAAAGCGATACCCCGTTGCCATTTTAGTCCCTCCTCCGAGTTTTTGCACTGAAATTTAGTGAAATTTAATAATCTAAGTATAACACCTTGGATTCGTTTTCGGTTATCATCCTGCCGCTAGTAAGTAATTGAATTGACCCTTTCCTTTATAAAGAAAAATTAATAGCCGAAATATAAATTTTATTTCGTGAGAGACTATAAGTTTTTAAGTTACTTGGTTGGAGGAGGATGAGGCTTCTGTGAGAAGATGCGATGAAGTTTTCCGAATTGAAATTTAATTTTGCCCCTAAAATTTGAATCCAGTGTCCAAAATGCTATAAAATATATTTCGGCCATGGCTCATGAAAATTTAAAACTGAAAAAGTTTAGTACAATATAGGTAATTTCTGTATGACGTTTTGATGAACGCTTTTTTTATCAACGCGTTTGAATGCGAGCGTTAATTGAAGGTATCAAAGACGGAACTGCGAGCGGAATTAAAATTTTACAGGTCGGGTTTATTTTCCCTGGGTTTCTTCTGCTGATAAGCGAAATAGTGGAAACTAATCAAAAAGGGCTTTAAATGTTATCCAAGGAGGTCTACGCTCTAATTAATTTGCAGCAATAACCTCCGGGCACTAAATAAACCGTATCAGAGTGTCAAATTCGATCAGTGCTGTTTGATTTGGTCCGTTTGATCATTTCAGATAACATTGGTAATATTGTTAACGTTGTCAAGAGTAAATAAGTAATCGGTTTATAATGACTCAAAATAGAGCAGTTGATATTGTGAATAATAAGTTGTACCCTAGTTTGTTACTCCAGTCACCTCCAAATGAAACGGAGAGCTCACCCTAGTTTTGTGCTTATCAGGGCTGCAATTTTACCCAATTGTGCTGCTCTATTTATCACCGTGTAAAGGCCACAGTCGTCATCATTGTGGGCACTGATCACCTTCAGCTCTATCTGCCAAAATGGCTTCCTTGAACAGACCCGCGATGTATCTGCTGTTTCTATTCCTGATTACAAGTCCCGTTTGTCTGAGTAAGTCGATCAACTTGAAGAGTGCAACCGTAATAATAGGCGAGGAGAAAGGAGGTAACAAGGAGTTCAAACTGGGGGTTCTGGCACCGGCCAAAATTGACTACTCTCTCGCACCTATGTCTCTAAATTCTACCCTAGTAGCGCTGGAATACAGTATTGAGAAATTGCGACATGAACTGTTGCCCGATTACTACTTCAAGCTATTTTATATGGACACTGATTGTGATTACAAACGATACAGTATGGCCGCAGTAGTAATGCAGTCTGATTATAAAATCAACGCGTTCTTTGGACCCATGTGTACGACCTTGTTACCCTGGACAACAGCGCTGTCAAGTCATTACAACTTGAACTCAATGACAGTAGGCAGTCATAGCACAGCAGACGGTGAAAATACAACTGTTCGATTAATGTCGCCTTATGCGTACTACAGGAAAAACACTGTATTGCCCGAGGACTTAAATTGCCCCGACTTCTTTTACACTGTGAATAAAACACTTCACCACATGGGATGGAAGTTAGACCTAGCAGCTATGTATAGAAACGATCACTCACAAAGGAAGCGAGATGATCTCAATTTGGCGACTCTGTGGTCGTTTGTGAGGGTTTGGAAACTGTCTCGTGCAGACCAGGGAGTCGAGACGTTCCAATTAGGATTGTCCCACGAGGACTTTCCCAACGGAACTGTTAAGCTGGCAGAATTGACAGACCAGCAGATTAAATTTCATACCTGGTCCAGGATTATCGTGGTTGGAATGAGTCCGGATTTTTTTCGACAAGTGGTGCACAGATTGTTTTGCGTGAAAAGCGACAAATTTAATATCAAAGACTATGTCCTGATTTACCTGGATAATAATTACGTAGTCGATTATGATAAGGATATACCAAATCAGCTTTGGAGAGATCCGACAAAACCACTGGACGACCCATACAACGTATGTCTTAAAGAAAAGTATAGACATGTGCTTATCTTCAGAAATGAAGACTTATTTGCAGAAACACCCCATAAATACGAAAAGCTGAAAACGGATTTCAGAGCGGCGTGTGACAAGAGTAATTTCAAGAATTGTCAGTTGCCCGAAAGTGCTTCCTACTTACAGTACGTTGCAGCAACACATGATGGAGTTCGCCTACTAATGCAAGCTCTAAATCAGACAGAGGAAAACGCCAGCGGAGTAGGCGGATCAGATCGCACAGGAGGCGGGGAATTGTTCCCCTTTGTGAAAAATAAAGTTTTCGAAAGCGACCAGTTTGCAGCTCGTCCTGTAATTAAGTTTAATTCTGCTGGTGAACGGGTCAGTCGGATGACCTTGCTGTGCATGGAAAACATCGAAACAGGGAATTTCTCGGCATATATAATTTTTAATTTGGACGGGTCGAACACGACGATTGGCAAAGGTCCTCCCTGGATTGGAGGCGTGGCGCCTAAGAATCCCCCTGATTGCGGATACACGAATGAGTTCTGCAGAAAACCGGATACCTTGAAATATCTAGTCACTTTTGTCAGCATAGGTGTGAGTTTGCTCCTCATTATTATTCTTGTCGTCGGGTTCCTAGTGTACAGAAAAGTTAAAATGGAAGAAGAGTTGATGAAAATGGTGTGGAAAATCAAATCAGATGAACTTGATTTCTCTGAAATGAAGACCTCTGATGCTTCTGCAATCGGAGAAGGAGGATCGAATGAAACCTTGACCAACAGTGGTGGTACAATTTTCATGAAGAACCTCCAGAACCACGCCAATAACTTGCTCAACAATAATTCTTCCGCCGCAAACCACCACAACCATTCTAACACTGTACCACAAAAGTTATCCCTAGTACCCGCACCAACTACAAGAAAAACCTCATCTGTTTTTGCAGTAAGAAGAATCAGTCACCACCAAGGACCCCAAGGCTCTTCGGGTGGCAAGGACAAAGACAAAGACAAAGACAGAGGGGGCCAAAACTCGGGCAGTTTTGCGTTTGAAAACCCCAATTTACCCTACCCCAGACCAGAGCCGAGATACGTGTTTCCTCGTTACAGAAGCTACAAGGTAATACATGTTTCTACTCTATAAAATTTAATATTTTTTCATAATTAGAAGAAAACAGAAAATCATGCTGATAATATTTCCGTTTCTATCATTAAAACTGTCGTCGGAAAAATTCAATGGGCCTAGAAAGATTTTTAAAAATCATCGGCGAAGAAAATGGTCTTTAAGTTTTTTCTTCAGAAAAATTTAATTTGATCATCTGGAGTGCTATTGTATGAAGACAATTTCCAGAACCTAACCCCATATTGTTCGATGATTAATTGAAAATACATGTAAAACTGGTGCCATTTGATTAGTTTGAATAGTTCAAACTGGCGCGTTTCTGTGAAATCCAGGCTGAACTCTTATCAAGCCTGTTTACTTTTGTCGATTTAGGTTGCTGCTCGACCTCTGAAAGACTCCATACAGTTCGAACTGAATCGAAAGCGGCTCATAGAGTTGAAAAACCTGAAGAGTTTGACTCATGAGCATATAGTGCGTTTTATTGGATGTGCAATTGACTCGCCCGTGAAGTTTATAGTGTATGAGAACTGCGCCAAAGGATCTCTCTACCACTTTCTCCGATCCCCAATGAAGGCTGACCTTTCGTTCCGATTTTCCCTCATGCTTGATATTGCTCGGGGGCTCAATTTCCTTGTTCAAAATGGAATGTTCCATGGCCGTCTAAATGCAAAGACTTGCGTGCTAGACAACCGCTTTGTGTGCAAAATCGGTGACCACGGGTTGTATTCATTGCGACCGTTGCCGCTGCTAGATCTCAGTCGACCCGATATGGGAAGCGAAGATAAATACTATGTGAAGTATGTATACGTCGCCCCTGAGGTACTTAGACGTGACGCACTCCCGAACGCACAAGCGATGCAACACACTGAATTCGATCATCTGATGCAAAGGGCCGACTACTATTCGTTTGCGATCATAAGCCACGAGATCTTATATCAGAAGCAGCCATTTCATATCACAAATAGTGAATACACACACAAGCAGAAACTACTCGAGGTCATCAAAGGCAAGTTTTTCTTCAAGGTATTTATATACAGGAACGGGGTTGTGAAATGAGGCAGATTCGAAGGTTGTTAAGAGTCGATGAACATAGTGAGGACTCATTTATAGGTCGTGATGGTTTTTTTTTTCATGAAACTTGTTCACGCGAAACTTTCGCGGTTTGACTTTGCGTTTCTTTTTAAGTTCAATTCATTTCCTTTGGTTAAAGGAAGGCAAACTGCACTATCGAACAGCAAAATTGTAAATGTCACAAAAAACGTGATCGACTTCTAGTATCCCAAATTGTATTTAATTTTCAGATTTTGCAGTGGGAATAAAAACTATCTATTGATCCATTTTTTTCAATTTGAGTTAATTTTATCAAAATTAAATCAGTTTTTCCTTTTTTCCTCGAGTTCATAGACTCTTTTCCAACTTTCTGTTGGCTATCTTTTTTATGAAAATCACCGAAAGTGTGGAGGATTTTTGGATTTGGTTGTTTAAGAGTCGATAAATGTGGTTCAGACTTTTATATAGGTCGTGACACTGGGACCTCTACCCGTTACCGACGTGTGATTCGATCACACGACCCTTAAATTGAGAGATTTGTGCCTCTCCCACTCGACAATGCCGCTCTTTATTTCTCTAAATCCCGACAGAGAAAACAAAAATCACTTCAAAAAAAGTCGAAACCAAAAAGTCAGCTGTCGGTTGGAACACTGGTTTTTACACCACATGCAGCTATTTTTGTTCCTCGTTCCATACGTATCAGATTACCATACAAACGCTTTCTTTGGTGCTTGAAAAATTTTCTATTAAAAAAAAACAGGCTAAATTTGCGCTATGCACTTTTTTGGAAGGTTTAAAAATCTCGGTTTAAAAAACAAGTTTTTTGGGATAGCTCGGAAAATTAATCTGGCCGACCTAAAAAAATCGAATTTGGAGACATCAGAAAAACTTTGCCTTTCAGGTTTAAAGTTGGTCGTTTAGAGAAGAAGTCTAGATAGTTAGAATTTATTGGGGAGTGTACGTGGACGAAATGGGAGAGATAAATCCCACTTTTACCACCGTATACTCTAGTCTTGCTTTATCTGAATGTTTTAGCGCTCCTATAAATCCCCTTGTATTAAGCGGGAATTCATTTTCAGCAGCCCATATTATAGCGAGTTTGGTTGGACTTTTCAGGGTTATTTTTGGAAATGAATTATGGAGGGCAATGCTTGTGGTGTTTGTCTGAATTTAAGTAAGCCCATCTACAGGGAACATTTAATCTACCGTTGCTCTGTCTCTCTTCTCCCACTAATTAGGATTCAAGTCAACATACAAACTAATTCTCTGTTTTTAATTCTCTTTTCCATGCGGCGGCACGTGATTTCGTACGGAATTTAAGAAATTTTAGGAAACGCTTTGGTGGCAATAATTTTGGCCGGTGTATTGTACATATTAAACAGTGAAAGAACGGTTACACGAATTAATCCTATTTGTTGTACGCTGTATGCGACTAAACGACCACTGATTCATTACATGCGTTATACAAAAAGTGGAGACTGATCTTTAAGCAGACCAATGTTTTGGCAAAAGAATTGAAAAATGGGTCTTTTAGCAGACCTGACGCATAATTGGTTGACAGGCATAAAAACACGCACACGCTTGGGTGATTCTTCCCTATTTAAGACAATTATCTCGCGATTTGTCAACAAAACTGAACTTCAGAAACAGAATAGTCAAATTAGCGTCAAAAGACTAATTTACGCGGACAGTAACACTCGTGTCGCTTGTTCGCGCAGTGGAGCAAGCGGTGGCTAATCACCAATGCCGCGTTTGAAATTAGCGTTCTGACTTGCTAATTGCTCTGAGTCTGCTAAAGAACCGGTCTGCTAAAATCCCCTGCACCATGAAAAGTTTATTGCATCCTCTAAAGAACCCTTCGAATTATATATCTTGATTTTTTTGAGTCTCATCAATTGCATTTTTTTTCATAAAAACAGCAAGGGATCGGAACAAGCAAACAAGGGGCCGTTTTTTTTTTGCAGAAATGCATTTTTTGGTCGACAATTTTGAAAATTGAAAACGCCATTTTTGGGTCTTATGCGTTAAACGTCCCAAAATTAGGAAAATAGTCAGAAATTTTATTTCAAATTGAAAAGACGTAATCAACATACAATTACTTCAGTTATTACATATTATACAAGCCAATCAGGATTAATCTCAGTATCAATCGAAAGATGTTCTAGAATTTCAAAGAGCTTTAGGCTATCTATTTTTTCTTTTCGAAAGTTGCAATTTTTTTAAAAAAATAAGTCGAGTTTTTTCAAAGAGCTTTAGGCTATCTATTTTTTCTTTTCGAAAGTTGCAATTTTTTTATAAAACGAGTTTTTTTTGTTTACTTGCGTTTATTGGCTCTTTTCCAACTGACTATTGGCTATGTTCTTTTCTTCATGGTGTTTTGAGCAAAACGAATATTTAAGTTTACGAAGTTATTAGTAATTCTTCAGGGTTGCTTTTTCTTTTTGTCCCGACCAAAAAATCGGGAAGAGCTAAAGCTGCAGATATTTTTTTCTACGCAACAATAGGTAATTCAAATAAGCGTAATATAGGATCGAGTTAGGAATCATGTTAACACACGCGAGCTAGCGAGCGTTATGTTAGATTACGATTGAAAATTTCCCGAACCGTTTCTGAAGTTAACGTACTGATTAATGGCACTTTTATTTTGGTAATTTAATCTGCTTTATTGGTGATTAGTTTTTGTCTTGTATCAAGCGACCGTGGCGAAGATGCAGGGACGTGGGATGCGTTGTCTACAGGTTGGCGGGTTCGATTCCGGCACATGGCAAAAGTTTATTTTTCAAGGTTTTTTTAACCTTTTCCAGACTACATTGGTGGGTGGTTTTTGCCTATTGTCGAGCGACCGTGGCGCAGATGGGAGTGTGTGAAAGTCCTAATATTTAGGTTGGCGGTTTGTTTTTCCGTAAGAGTTTTTTTCAAGGCATACGTTACCTTTTTTTTCTTATTTCATTCTTTTTACCCTTGCGAAACCGGATGTAACCTTTTTTGCGGTACAGAACTTTGTTTACAGGTTGACTCTTTGGCGATTATATCCAGTTCTTTACTTTTGTCAATTAATAGCCAAATTATGCGCATTTCGGGATGTTAGTTGCAAGTTCTATTCGAACATCATTTTTTTTGAAGGTTATAATTTTACTCACTTTGATATCGGTATATCAGCTTATTTTCGTTTTATTTGATTTTTTTCCAAGAGAAAGTCTTTAAAACGCTCTAATAAGTGCAGAAGTGCAATCATGCTTACTAATTTTTTTAGTATGCACGTCTTTTTTTGAGTCAATTGAAAACATTTGCTAAAAAGAAGGCAATACGCTCTCCAATTACAAAATTAAGAATATTGCAGAAAACGTATGATTTTATGTTTCAAAGATGGGCTTTAATCTTCAGAGTTTTAGCGGAAAAACGAGAACTACTTTTTCATCACAGATTGGCCAAAATCAGCACCACTTATAAATACCGCTTGTAGGGCTCTTGCACTCTTGCTATATAGGTGGTGGGGGTTGAGAAATTAGACGATAAGCAAACTAGACGGAGGTACTTAAAAGGAAATTAGACGGTTTTGCAAAACTGCAATTGTGAGAAAATAGACGAAAGTGAGAGAAATTAACTTTGTTTGCACACAAATTGCGTTAGAAAAATAAAATTGTTTGTAGACAACAGTTCAATTTCGGTGGCCAAAAACTTAACAAGTCAATCATGCATAATTTATTCAATTCAAAACTCTCCTGTAATATTCAGATTTGACTTTTTATGTTCATTTAAACTAATTATTTTGATAGGTATTGACATTTTATGTTTTTTATCCGTAGCATCCGTCTAATTTGCTTATCGTCTAATTTCCTAGGCCCCGTAGGTGGTATGTGCAAGGTTTTGTTGTGAACTTGTTCTTGGCTCTGTGAGAACTTGTCGGTTAATTTTCAGCTTATTATGTATCTGCTTTGAATTTGTCAGCTTATTTACACTTGTGAATTTTAAGTGAGCGTTTGTTTAATAGTGCGTCAATTTTTTTCTAACTTAAGTTGCAATTATTGGTTGTTTCTTGCTATTTTCTCCTGATATACTGTTTGTATTTCTCTCGTCTTAAAAGTTTTTGTAAATTGTCGGTTTAGTTTCTTTGCGGCGTAAGTTTAATTTGGTTTATGGTTTTTATACACGCCAAGATTTTTGTAATAAAATTGAAATGATAGGTGTGAGTTTTTTTTGAAGTAGGTGTGTTTTTGACTAGATTTACTTCGTCTTAGATGGTTTGGCTATTGTTTAACATTACTTAGTTCATGAAATATACTCAAACTTTGGCAAAAAGTTTCTTGAATTAAGCGTTATTTTTAAAATTTTGATCTGTCTTTTGCTAGAAGCAAGGGTAATAAAATAGGATCATAGGCTTTTCCAGACTAATTTCGTGACTTGCAATAAGCAAGGGTTATCAACTCGGGGCTTAGGATTTTCAAGGTTTTTTCAAAAAGCCTATGATCCGGTTTGCTAACCCTTGCTATTAAATCGGAGCAGAAGTGTTTTCAGATGAAAGACTGTGTGACAAACTCAGTAAATCATTTATTACCGTGCTTTTTATTTTCAAATTCGACTGTTTGGCTCATTGAGCCAAGAGGTAATTTCCATTCTTGGAAAAACAAAAAGCCTGCTTTTTCTCGAATTACGAGTTTCTTTGGTCTAAATTGTTTTGAAAGTTATTTTCGTTTAGTTGCATCAAAGTACGCCGTTCAAAAGCAAAACTATATTTAGTCATTTTTTTTCGGCTCTACTGGCGTCAATCTAAGTTTCATCTGCGTAGTTATCGCTATGTAAATTTTGTCTTAATGCTAATGTAAAGCTGGCAATCGTGTTTCAGTTTTTCATCAAGTTGAATTTCACATGAGACAAAAGCATGAAAAGTTAGTTTTTTAAATTTGCGACGTTTCATTTTTGACTTTTACTCTTTTTTTCGAATACTTGCCATGGTACGTTTGTGTTACATCGCTATCGATGCGAAGCTCCGCTTCGCCTCTATGTCTCATATTTGGTTAGTTTATCAGAAAGGCAGCAATCTTTTAAAAAATCTTGAAAATCGAAGAGCTGATCATCGACAGCGAAAATAAATCTGCAGGCTGAATTTCGAAAAAGTAAATTACTATTTTTTGGTTTCTGCAGGTTCTTCATTAGGTTTTTATTGTAAGTTGGCTGTGTTTCTAAGTTTTATCTTTTGTTATAAAAATTGAGCGGCCGTAACATTCAGTGTTACTTGCACAGCAAAAGGTTATTTTTTTTTCTTTTTAGAGGAAAAACTTTTTGCACTGTCCTTTTTGCCGTAGTGTAGCTACCTTTTTACTGTATTATTTCGAATCTGCTTGCCAAATCTAGCTCCGTCCTTTATAGCTCTATAGATTTTGAAGCTTAAACTGACTTCCGTTCTCTATAGATTTTGAAGCTTACACTGACTTCCGTCCTGCAAAATTGTGTCAAAGTTTGAAAGGAGACTCCCGTTTTTTCTTTAGAAAAATTGCAGCGGGAACTTACCGTTGAACTGAAACTATTGTGGTTAAATCTGATTGGTTAGTGTTAGCTAAACAAAATTAAGCGACTTAGCTATCCGTGGCGTTTTGGTATTACGGTAGGTGGCATCGTGGCGCTCCGGTAGTGATGGTGCGCAGTTGTCATCTGATTGCTGGTTCAAATCGCACGTGCGTTGCAATTAGCAAGTTGAGCTCTAGCAAGTAAGTCAAAGCTTGCGTGGACACCGGTTATATCCGCTCCTGTCAACCTAATTATTTAACCTTGTAACTCTGCCTCCGGGCTCGTCAAAAATGTGGTCAGATTTTAAGTACATTTTCAGCAGATAGAAACATTGGCAATCTAAATATTAATTTCGAAAAAGTCAACCTGCAATTTAGTTATTATTGTTGGCTGTTCGTTTTTTGATTAGGTTCTACACAATTTTTGCAAAGCGATCTAGGTTGATTTTTTTTCTAAAATCGGGAAACATTTGAAAACAACTCGATCTATACCAAGCTAAGTCGCATTTCAAGGGCAGCATGGAACATCTTGATCGATAAATTGGAAACTTCCGCACAATTTTCTGCAATTGTTTTATTCAGCAATAAGTTTAATCGCCAACAAACGAAATGAGCTGTCTTTTCGGTCGTGTTGTCTGGGAAAATGTCATAAAGTGTGTTTAAGAGCAATGAACGTAGTGAGTACTCTTATATGAGCTTTTGTGAATTTTTGTATTTGGTTTTTTTTTCACGTTCAATTTTGATTTTTCGTGGTTTGACTTTTGATTTCTTTTCAAATTGAGTTCATTTTCTTTGTTTACACAAGCATAGCTTGTGTTATAGTATGAACTTTCTTTTTTTCCAACTTAAGTCGCAAATATTGTTGCGACGCAAATACTGTTGCGTTAAAATGTGATTATTTTGAAAGTGTTCATTTTGATCAATAACCAGCTACTAAGTACAGCCAATGTTAAGGGTATCAACACAGACTATTATATTTCAAATAGCACTTAAGCTTCAAGGTATCATGGATCTGTAGCGCAGAGGTAGGCAAGGAAACCCACAACAAAATACGAGGTTGGAACCTGGGCAGGTCCTTATGTTGCAAATGAATTTTTTCGTATACTAGTCAAAATGAGTCCGCTCTATGAATTGAGGCATGTTAGTTGGTAAATTTTTTTTTCTTTTCAAATTGAGTGGTACTGCTAATGCGTCATAATTGGCTTGCGTAACTTAGCAATTATGTAGACTCATAATTGGCGTGCTTCACTTAAGAAATTTTGTAGACTCAAAGCTTTACTCATTCAGTTTTCCCAGTAGCTTTTTCGGTCATATTTTTGCTTGTGTATGCGAAGTGCAACTTCGCCTCTGTGCTAAAGGAAGGGAAACTCAACTATCGAAGAGCGAAACTGTAAAGGTCACGAAAAACGTGACCGACTTCTAGTTTCGAGAATCGAATTTAGCTCTCAGGTTTACCAGCGAAATAAACAATGTGCCTATTGATCCAGTTTTCTGAAATTGGGTTTAGTTTATCAAAAATTTGTTCAATCAAAAGTTGTTCGAGAAATTCAAGGAGCTTTAAGCTCGTCTATTTTCTTCTTCGAAGTTCGAAACAAGTTTTTTTTAAAAAAACAAGTCAGAATTTTTTTTGCTTACTTGTATTCATTGACTCTTTCCATCTATCTGTTGGTAATATTTAATGTGCCTCAGATTCTGAGAAAAAATATTTGAAAGCTAAACTATTTCTTAGACATTGAAATACCAATCCATGTAAGGTTCTTGAACTTTGTTTGAGTAGAAGTGTAGGCCGATGATGAAGGCTGCCCTTTGCATATATAAACTAAGTTCAATTAACAGCTACCACCAAATCAGTTATCGGGGTTCTCAAATTATCGGAGGGGTGACTGGTGGTTGTTTATGTGTGCAAGATGTTGATTTCAATTTCAGAATAAATAACTTGCAATGTGAAAAGCTTTTGACAACTGTTCGTACGCGACTGGTCTCCGGTTCGATCATTTGCGGACCCTCATTTTCTAAACTAAATCATGTATCGGAGGTACCGATAAGTAAGTTGGCGAGAGTGTTCTAAAACGATGAGGAAGAAATCAGACGAAAAGAATGTTTTTTTTTTTCGAAATTAAAGTTGCGTTACTTCAATTAATGTTGTGGATGTATCTTCTATGATGTTTTTATAACCACTTAAGTGCAGTTCCTATAACCACTAAAGACATGAATATGACAAACCCAACCCTAAACGACGTTTTTCAGTGGTACGTGCTTATATGTGGAAAAATCCAGAATTCCTTCTCACTCAGTGAGTGGTCAGGACAATTAATGCAAGCATTAATTTTGAAAAATTTCTGTTTTCAGGGGGCAAGAGTCCATTCAGACCGATGTTCGACGACCGCGACTTCACAGACGAGTTAGCCTCGTACGAAAGGGACGCGAAGGAAGGTATGACTGCCCGACTGAACAATGCTCGTGTGGTAATGGAGCAGTGCTGGACGGAGAACCCCCACGAGAGGCCGGACATGAACTGGGTGTGTGGGCGCCTCAAAGAAAACGTGAGTAACTTCATATTTTGGGCATTTATCATTGAGAAAGCTTGTCATTCGAAATTTTCAGCTCAGCATTTTTCGAAAAATTTCAAAATTTTCGAGGTTCAAAAAGTGGATTTCAAGTTCAAGTTTATATATTTCACCTTGATTCTGAAATGTTTGAAAGCTCAATAAATTTTTACTGAATTATTCATGAAATTACCACTAATTATTTGTTCTGTTTTCTCCGTGTCGTTCGTGGGTTTATTGAATGTTAACCATATTGGCGGCCCTTCAAGCTAAAAATATCGGTGGCTCTATTTGGGTATTTTTAGGCTATTTAACATTAATAAAGGTTTTTTGATAAATTATCGTATATTGGGTTTCAAATTAAAAGGTGATATGGAAGGCTCTAATGACATTTTGACATCAAGTCCGCTAATTACATCTAAATTGAACTAAATCATAGGATGTACGACTTATATAGGTTTTCCTCTAGTATTAGCAGCTAGAGTGTTTTTAATTACGTTTAGAATAATTCCTAGTTTTGGAATTTCAACATCTGAAATGCAAATTTAAGTTAATTCTTTCTCCGACTTGAAAAGAATAATTTTCAACCCGTCAATAAAAGTTGCTAAAACTGAAAATATGGATGAAATAAGGATAATGCTGATATTTCTTTGATGTTTCCTCGGTGTGAAATAGCGTTGAAAGAAGGAAGTAAATTGGAAAAAGAGCATGCTAAGTAAAAGTCATCATATTTGACATTTTCAAATTTTAATCTCGTGGCAGTGCAGTGCAACGTTTATTTAGATTTGAAAGTCGTTCTTGAAAAAGCGTATGGAAACTATCAATCTATGCTCGATGTTGTTTTTGTCGTCACTAAGTCTAGCTTGTCCCGAAAGTTCATTTGATGAGCAGCGATGACGCAAGATAGGATGATTGAAGTTTTTCAAGAAATTAACCAAATTGTGTCTTAAAATGTTCATTTAAAAATATTTTTAAATCACAATAAATCGATTTTGAACCAAATATGATGTATAAAATATTCATAATTTGGCGTCGAAAAATATATATGTCGCTATCTAAGTGTGACATCACTACATGACGTCATGCATTCTTATGCTATATTAGATTACATAATTAGCCTTGTTAATGAAATGAAGTTCATACATTTATATTTATTTAACTATGTAAATATTGATGGTAATTAATACCAACCATAGGAGATTTATACCGAGCTACTAATCAATTGGGTAGACTTGAAGAGAATAAAATATTAGAATCATGCTCTAACTTGCGCCGATCGACTAGCGATATTCCAGAAGTTAAGAACCGAATCCTGCGTCCTTAAAAGCAAGATAAGTCTTAACCGCTCGAGACATATAAATTATGGAAACAATCAATAACAATTGATAGCCAGTAGCGCTAATTAATATTCGAACAGCTTACAACATTATCAATAAACGACGATATAGCTGTCCACAGCCATCCGAAGGGACACTATATCACATGGTGACTGTCGCGGAAGATTCTACTTCTGGATTCACCAAAAGTCATCGGCAATTGCAATCTTCATCACACGAGCGGACAACGACAACCGGACTTTGCTGAAACAGAACAGGGCAACACAACCCGTTTCACCCAGCAACGCTCAGATGTGGAAAGCAGAGCAACATTCAGCGAACAACTGAGACAGACAGGGAGAAAAAGAAGACAGCCTCAACTTCAACATCTCCGGGCTGAAAGTTTCTCCAATCTACAGAAGCAGATGTGGATTGTGACCTACAACATCACTACTTCTTGTTCCAGTCAGAAGGCAGGGCAGCTGAGCTACTGACAAGGCAGACAAAGAAAGCAAATCTACAGGTTTTTCAACAATCAACAAAAAACAGTTAGTTAAAACAAACTCAAAACTCAAACCTGCAGTAAATTGATATAATTGTCATTAAGTTTCCCCACCATAGAAGTGAAGTAACGGAACCTTTAGCACAACCATATAATTGCATCAATAAATCTGATCAGTGATACTGCTAGCCTTCTTTAACCGCTAATTTATATAACAAACTCCCTAGTGTTCCCACTAAATTGAATAAGTGCTGTATCTTATCATCAACTGTATCACCCTGATATTCATTCGACTGTATTACGATGGCACACGCGCAAGTTTCGGTCGAACCCTATGGAGGAACGGAAAAAGAAGACTTTTCAGAATTCGAGCAACTTTTTCAAGGCTACATCGGAGTAGCAGCGATACCAAACGCACAACAAGCGAACTTCTTGCAACTGCACCTACGAGACAACGCGCTGCGATTCTACCAGACACTAGGACCAGCAACTCGAGCGAACGTTCCCGCGAGTCTCATAGCCCTGAGGGATCACTTTTGCAACCCCCAACTTCAAGAAATCCACGTTTTGAATTTAGAACAACTGCGATTCAACCCGAAAACAGATACCCCAGAGAATTTCTTGGTCAACTTAACGAAAAAAGCGCAGCGAGCGTATCCGACACCAGATTTGCCAGCTGTCGCCCCAATTGATCCTGCAATAATTGGAGCACCTGCAGCAGCAGAAGCAGCACGATTCCACCGAGAAACTGCTCAAAGGCAAGAAAGGATAGATGCTGTACATGACAACCGAAATGAACAAATTAAACGACTGTTCATTAAGGGAATGCCAGGGTGGCTGAGATCAAAACTGATGGAACAACCACCTGCAACTACAGTTCAGGAACTGTGCAACCTGACCAAGAAGCAAATCACAATTCGTGAGATTTGCCGAAAAGACGATTACCCGGAAGACGGATTTAATGAAATAAACGACAAAGTCTCAGAAAAATTAATAAGCGCTATCACAAAATTGTCCACAAATCAGGAAAAAATGGAGAAGCAGCTTAACGAAATGAGATCACAAATAACTGAGCAGTCGAATAAACAATCGAATCCGCTCCCCGAACAAAATCGGAACAACAACAGTCAGAGTGATCAGTATAGTGGCTATCAGCCAAACCAAAATAATGGGTATGGACAACAACGAGGCAACAGAGGCGGAAGACGTAGAAATAATTGGCAAAATAAATTTGATTTCAACAATACTCAGCCAAACTTTCACAATATGCCACCAGTTGCACAACAGCCATATTCGCAATTGTACCCTCAAAATCAGCAGTACCCAAACATGTACCAAAATCAACAGCCAATGGTTCAAATGCATCCATCAGCACAATTTCAACAGTCCCAGAAATATCCGACGCAACAATTTGTCGCAAATCAAATGCCTCAAGCTGAAACGCAAAATCCCAACGGACCTTTTGGACCAATGGTGCGATCATCAGCCAAATTTTGTGACGTTTGTGGAAAATTTAACCACACAGCAAGTCAATGCTGGTGGCGACAGAAACCACAAGGACGCGGACAAAACTTCCCGTTTCCAAACGAGCCAAAAAACTAATAAAGCCACTGAGTCAGCCCCCTAAATCATCGAAATCACCTAAATCATCACCTAACGAACTTTTCCAACCTGATGAGATACTTAGCCTTTACGCAATAATCCCTGCGGAAGGAACAGTACTGACGTACACGAAAATACGTTTCTCATCGGGATTACAACGTAGAGCCCTGGTCGATACAGGAGCCTGCGCAAATGTTATCTCAAAACAGACATTTGAAGACCTAAAAGAAGAAAAATCGCTATTTCGCCCTCTTGAAGTAAATGAACCCAAACTGAAGAGAGTTAGAATGGCAGGAGGACAGCAAGTCTCCATTGAAACTGAAGTAACGTTAGAATTCCGATTGGCAGACATGACCTTTATAGAATCATTTCTCGTTCTTCATGCAGCCAATTCAATAATTCTAGGAAATCCTTTCTATAAAAAACATCATATTCATGTCTGTCCGAAGTATAATCTACTGCATTTCAAAGACATGACCCTTCAAATCAACGAAATAAAACCTCCAAACGAGCCAAGAAGAGTCAATAGAGTGAAAAAATTCCCTTTGCTTCTGACAAAACGTCAAACAATAGATCCGCATCAGACAATTCTTGTAGAATGCCAGCTAGAGAACACATGTCAAGACATGGAAAAAACTACCGGAATCGTGATTCCAGCTCAGGAATTTGAAGAAAACTGTGAAATTGCGTTCACTTCTTCAATAAGCGAAGTGCTGAAAAACAACCTGTTGTATATCACAGCGTTTAACATCACCGATCATCACATTACTTTGCCTTTCAAAACCGAAATTGGGGAATTTTCAATTCTGACTCTGAAAGAAGCAGAAAATTTATTCCCCATCGAACCTGAAATGATTGCATTTGCAAAAATGAACCACCCGGACGATATTGAAATGGGCATTAATGAGCTAATTCAACAATCGTGTGATAGTCAGCAGCCCCAAATGAAGCATGAACCTGAGTATGAAAAATTTTGGTTTCCTACGCCTGAAACATGTCAAAACCCTGAATTACTTCCTCAAATCCAACGCGACATTTACGACCAAATTCTTCATTTTCAAGGTCTTGAAAAACTTGAACCGAAAACGAAATGTCAAGATCGATTGACATTTATCAAGAACTTTAAGTGGGAGAATTCAGTGTTGACAGAAGACCAAAGGTCAAAAGTAGAAGATTTGCTTGTTGACTTTTCGGACATCTTCGCCAAACATAGATTCGATGTTGGGTACAATTCCGACCTCAAAATCAAACTAAAACCGGAACACACACGACCTCTGTATACACAAGGACCACCTACGCCGATACATTTGCGACACGAATTGACAGTGGAACTTGCCCTTATGCACTATTATGGACTTATAACAACATTGTCACATTCAAAATACAGTAGTCCACTATTTGCACATCGAAAGCCATCTGGTAAATTGCGGATGTTGATTGACCTCAGAAGGATAAACCATTCACTCAAGAATGACTATATCAACAGCAACTTTCCGATCTCAAACATGACCGATGCTTCGAACCACTTCACAGAAAAGAGCTTGTTTACCAAACTTGATTGCTCACAAGCATACCACTGTGTGCAAATGGCAGATGACCTTTCAGTCCAACTTTTGGCATTTAACTTCGGTTCACGAACTTACGCATACAAATGCCTGGCTCAAGGTCTAAGTAAATCAGTAACAGGATTTAGTTCTTTTATCCGACACTACCTTGATCCATGCTTAGCTGCGGACCTATGTACACAATTCATGGATGACATAGGGAGCGCTGTGTATAACTTCGATGAAATGATACCGACCCTTTCGAAAATATTCGAATGTGTACGGAAGTCAGGACTTAAATTGTCGCCGAACAAATGTGAGATCGGAACACAAAGACTGAAGTTCCTGGGTAACGTAATCACACCAGCAGGAGTGTCACCGGAACAAGAGAAAATCTCCACGTTCTTAAAGAAAATTAAAATGCCACAAACGGTTAAACAAGTTAAACGATTAATCGGTTTTGTACAGTTTTTTCGCAACTATATGCCAAGCCTAGGAGAAAAACTGATACCTTTTTATCGACTTCTCAGAAAGGATGTTGCTTTTCAAACAGATGAAGAGCACCATAAACGTCTTGAAGTGCTCAAGCATGATCTGATACAAGCAACAGACATAACACTTCGGTTACCAAAACCAGGACTACAATACGTAATACTCTGTGACGCAAGCTATCATGGAACCGGTTTTGTGCTCATGGTTGAAGACTATGTGAAGACTGACAACAAAGGTGAAATGAAAACGTATGCACCAGTGTCTTTTGGTTCAAGACTCTTCAATACAGCACAACTGAAGTTCTCCATATACTACAAAGAGTTCTTAGCTCTATATTTTGCTCTCGATCATTTCTCTCATTTCATTTGGGGATCATCCAAACCAGTGATAATACTGACTGATAATCGGAGCCTGACACAGTTTTTTCAAGCAAAAACCATTCCACCATCAGTTTGGAATTTCTTGGATCGAGTCATGGCATTTAACATCATCATCGCGCATATACCTGGAAAAGCAAATTATGCAGCAGATTTTCTCTCACGAATGCAAACAGACCCATCAGCTTCTCTCTCCCTGAAACTGACGGACAAAATTCCGGTACGAGAGATTCAAATCGACACGACAGCTAAAGTAACTGATGCATCTCTCAACCTGATCCAACCAATGGAGGAGATCTTTCCCGAAAAGAAGAAACTTGACGATAATCTGAGAACACAATTGATTGAACTAGGACTCTATGAAAACGTTATGCGAGAGCTCAACACGCAAGACGATAGCGATACTATTCAACCACAAAACTTCGTCCGACTATCAGGACCATTAATTGCCGCAGTTGGATATCCCGATCCTGCTGACATTTTTCATGACCTGAATTTGAGTCATGAAGTTCTCAATCTGAAAAATGAACAAGAAAAGGATCCTGATATCGAAGATGTGAAAAACTGGATACGGAACGAACAAGTTCCAAACCTCACGTACGAAAACAGTCGAAAGAAGAAATATGCGAAGCAATTTAATCGACTCATACTTGAAAACGACGTTCTGTACCGAAACTTCTTCGATGACACAGGAAAGGTGAAGTATAAACAATACTGCCTACCTAAACATCGTTGGAAAGAAGTTGTGTATCGACTCCACAACTCGCCAACTGGCGGACATCTTGGAATGACAAGGACATCAGAAGAGTTTAGAAAACGATTTTACCTTCCCGGCTTCACTGAATTTCTGAAAAATACGATTAAAAATTGCCTGACGTGTCTGCAACTCAAACAAGCAACGGCAAAGCACCAGATTCCACCATTACAACCAATTTCATCATTGCAATGTCTCCCAGGAGATATGATGCAAATTGATATAGTTGGACCAATGAAGTCACCAGTCTACAAGTTTGTTCTCACTGGAATCGATGTATTCTCGAAATACTTGTTTGCAGCACCATTGACGAATGCTAGCGCTGATACTGTTGCAAGAGAACTTACAAAGATGTTCTTTGTTCATAGTTATATCCCGAAGAAGATTCTAGCTGATCTTGGAAAGACATTTACTTCAGAACTGATGCACGAATTGACGACATTGCTCGAAATTCAACTTAACCATGCCACACTAAAACACCCGCAGACTATCGGTCTTGTCGAACGATCTCATGGACCACTTAAACGAATCCTAAAGCTGAACACCAATGAACAATGGTCGGACTGGCACAAATATGTCCCACTGGCAACATTTATCCACAATACTTCATACTCTTCATCAATTGGATGCTGCCCAAGCTCAATTTTCCATGGAAGAGAACCGACAAAACCACTTGATCTCCGCTTCTCAACGAAAGCAATTGAAACAGTAACAGCTGAATCTGATTTTGTTACGGCAATGCAAGATGCGATGCTAGAAAAGTTCAAAGAAACGAAAAAGAACTTAATTTCAGCTTACCATAAATACCGAGGATATTACGATCAAAAAGCACTTGCCCAGCCACTGAAACAGCATTCATTTTGTTTATTATTAAATCCTCTGTTGACAACACAATCAGATTTTGGGAGCAAATCAATGCAAGTCTGGATACCATTGTACAGAGTTGAAAAAGTATTGACAAATTCAAACTACATCATTCGTAAAATGGGAACTAATTTCACACAATGCGTACACCGGATTCGTCTCAGACCTGTTATTCCACAGCATCAACCAGAAGATCTCGAGACTATTGATCCAAGCAAATTTGAAACGGATCCCTCACTTGGTAAATATCGAAGTGAACCAGGACTCTTCGACGATTCTTTGCCCAAACTCTTAGACGACATCCAACCCGCAACCGGTGGACAAAGCAACTTTCCCGATGCACCTGCTCGAATCCGACTGTCAGTACCTCTTGGAGGACCCGCAGCAGCCCCAATCGCTCCTGCAGCAGTCCCAATTCCCGCAGCAGCACCAATAGTTGCACCATTACCTCTGGTACCGCTACCAATAGCAGCACCGCCGCCACCAGCACTTCCACCGGACCCAGATCCAGAACCCTTAGCTCCACCTGAGTTTGAATACAACGATGGATTAATTAACGACGAACCAATGAACGAGGCAGTGGTAACAATGCCTACTACAGTTAATCTCGAAAACGATGGACAAAACATGGCCCAAGAAACCTCGCGAACGAAGCGCAAAGCAGCAGTCGAAGCGCGAGACAAAATATTTTGCCAAACGCGCTTCAACAACGATGTGAGATATCACCCAATACCACCACGCGAATTGCAACTGCGCACATTCAGCCTACGAACAGTAGATGGACACGAAGTGGCTCCAATAACGTTCAGTCCAAGATCAACTCAAAACGAAAACCGATCAAAAATAAAGAAGAAGGTAGAAGAGGCAAATGGATCTTTCCCTCCACGCGAAACGAAAAGAAATATAATAAAGGACAGTGTACAACGAGCGAAGCAACTGACTAAAACTAAACGTAAAGACGGACCTGGAAGCAGCAAAGATTCGGTGAACTCAATCTACGATGAACCAAATATCTTTGTTGGACCAGGAAATGTTTTACAGTTCCCAGGCTCTATAGCGCACTGTGTCTCAAGTGACTTTCACATGAACAAAGGAGTAGCACGACAAATCAGCAGTGCCTACCCATGCATCAAACCAACCCTAAAAAGCATTGAAACACCGATAGTTGGATCATCAGTTTCAGTTTCTTTGCCTTGGGAAAACAAATCAATTTTCAATTTAGTTACTAAACCACAATTTTTTGATAAGCCAACCTACTACGATTTGTCACGGGGCCTCAACTGCATGAATCAAAAGGTCCCCTTTTAATCTCGTGGCAGTGCAGTGCAACGTTTATTTAGATTTGAAAGTCGTTCTTGAAAAAGCGTATGGAAACTATCAATCTATGCTCGATGTTGTTTTTGTCGTCACTAAGTCTAGCTTGTCCCGAAAGTTCATTTGATGAGCAGCGATGACGCAAGATAGGATGATTGAAGTTTTTCAAGAAATTAACCAAATTGTGTCTTAAAATGTTCATTTAAAAATATTTTTAAATCACAATAAATCGATTTTGAACCAAATATGATGTATAAAATATTCATAATTTGGCGTCGAAAAATATATATGTCGCTATCTAAGTCAATTTAAAATTAGTGTAAGCATGCTCAACTTTCAACAGTGCTAGTACTTGAATATTAGTAGCTTTCATAAGATTTTAAATGTTCGAGAGGTTTCGATTGTTTTTAATGGTAAATTTTGTTTTAAATTGAATGGCGGTAGAAATAACAAAACTTATGACGTTCTCACTTCAAGGAGATAAGACGTTTTTTTAGGGCTTCTGCGGGAATATATGCAGCTGCCGTTTTAGTTTTATAGTATAGCTGGAGATGACGGTGTTTATCTAATTTGTCCGAATTACGAAGAAATTGGGAGAATATTTCTGCTGGTCTGTTTTTATTTTGACCAATTTATTTTGACCAATTTTGACCAACCGATTAAACTTTTTTTCATGAAATTAAGACGTTAATCGGAACATACACTAAATCTGATGTGATCAGCTTTGTCAATGCTTTCCAACTCGATGAAGTAGTTACGTCTCCGCCTCTCAATCGGATGTTGGAGGCCTACCATGATCAGTGCTTGTTGCTTGAGGGTGATGCAACATTGCCCAGTCCAGAAAAATAACCTAACAAATGCATGTAATTCTTAAGCAGGGCACAACAGCGGTTCTCCGTGAAGAGCTGAACAGCTCGTATCTTATTCCTATCCCTTGTGGATAAATGGTGTTAATGTGATGTGTTTAGGTTCCCGAGAACATAATGGAGAATATGCTGCAGAGGATGGACAAGTACGCGAAGACCATGGAGACGCTAGTGGAGGAGAAGGCGAAACATGTGGTGTTGGAGAAGAAGAGGGCAGACGATCTACTTTACTCTATTCTGCCAGTGGCCATCGCCAACAAACTCATCAGGTAATACACAGTAAAGAGTACAGTGTTGAAACAATTGCCCCAAGCCAACATCTCCGGAGCCTGTTAACTACCACCCTTAATTTCTCCCTTCATTGCAAAACAGGGAAAATTTGTTACAACGTGCCAAATTTGTATAGCCTTAACCCTTGGTTTATCTCATTACAGAGGTGGCAATTCTACCAGAAACGATAGTGGGAAATAGTAAACTAGCTCAACATCTCCTTATTAAGTTTTGTTGCTCAAACTGAAAAACAAGCCTAACAGGAATAGATGCAAAGGGTTCGGACAGCCAGAACTAATTATTAAGACTCCATTCTTGCAAGATATTTGCTTGCAACTTTGATGTAGATGCAATAGCCCATTTAGGGAGTTGATGACCCCTCCTCAGGGATTTGAACCCCCGGCTACCCAAAAGGTCCCCTTTTAGTACTATTTTGAGAGATCTATAAATTTTCTAGAGGCGAGAGAGGGGAGCGAGCTATTTTTGAGAGTGGAGCGCTCGTTGAAAAACGCATTTTTTTGTCAAACATTCCAGAAATTGCCTTAAAAACGTCGTTCTGGCCTGTTTTTTTTTTGACTAAATAGGGCTGAAAGTTTTCTCAAAATAGGATCTTCAAGATGATTTGGGAGAGCTTGGAAAATCAAATCGATCGACCTATAACAAGGTCGAATTTTTCTTAAGTCTACCCCATGCCACCGTCTAGGTAATCCTAGATCCACCCCTGTGTGTAGATAAACTTAACACATCAGACATCAGTTTTGAATTAAAAAATTGTTTATATAAAGTATAAAGAACAATTGCTCTTGAGTTAATTGTGTCTGTCAAATTTTTTTCGTTTTATTGAAACACACATTGTATACTTAGTATGATAAGCTGCAAATGCAAACATTGAGAACAAACAGAATTAAATAAGAGATATTTATCAGCCAATTGTGAGCAAATTTTGTATGCTGATATGAATTTTCATGTGAGATTGGAACATAAAAATTGTGTGAAAAGCTAGTTCTTCTGAAATAGGTTTTTCTGTTCTGTTTTATTTGATTTTAGTTGTTCGCTTTAGTCTAGAACATATTTGTTTCAAAACATCCCAACTTGAAATAGTTTGTCTTTTAGGTCAAATTTGCATCTGCCGTTCTTTAGAAGTCTGAATCTGCCTTTGCCTTTCTTTAGAAGTCTGTTTGAAAAAATTCGCTTAAAAAGTTCGAAAACGGCATCTGAGTTTATTTATAACTACTCGATAATTCACTAAAACCACTATAAATTGCTACTCGTGCTGAACACACTTAAAAAATGATCTCATTTGTTAGCATAGTACCACACATCGCTCCTGTAACATATTAACTGCGTGGATGAATTGGTTGAGTATATGATGGCTAACTTGTTTGGGAGAATGGCTTTTGGATCAAGTTAACATACCCTCGTTTTGGGGGATTGTTACCAAGGACCGACTTCGTAAGCTATTCTTAATCAATATTATGTAAAGTTACTGAGCGCTGAAGTTCTCAGTTCAGCTTTAATGGGAGAGCGTTCGCTTGACTATTGTAATTGGAAGGGGCTTGTTTTTCTGACCTCGTAATGTCACATGAAATAAATATGGCGTAGGGTGGGATTTTTTTCACCTGCCTGTTTTAAGTGCCTCTGGGAAACTCGAAATGTTTCGAGCGTAGTATCATATTAAAGACCTATAATATTATTTTAATTTCAAAATTTCAAGTTTCTGATTTAAAAAAGCGTCAGCTCTGTGGCAAAAACTTTAAATAATTTATTAAATGTAAAAGAACCAAGTTATTACAAAAGTAACGCTCAAATTTGTTCATGCTCAAATTTGAACTTATGCAGTTTGACTTTTGATTTGTTTTCAAGTTCGGTTCATTTCCTTTAGTTAAAGGAATGCAAACTCCACTATCCAACAGCGAAAGTGTGAAGGTCACGAAAAACGTGATCGACTTCTAATTTCGAAACTTTCAGATTTCCCAGCAAATTAAAAATTTTACTTCTTGATCCAGTTTTCTGAACTTAGGTTAATTTGATCAAAAAAGTGCCCATCATGAATTTTTCTAGAAATTCAATAAGCTTGCAGGGTATCTGTTTTTTTTTTCTTTAAAATTCGAAAGTTGAATAAATAGGAGTAATTTTTTAAAAGTAATGAACGTAATGAGTACTCTTACATAGGTTTTGCTGTTTTTTTTTTCTTCAGGATTTTGATTTTTGGCGGTTTGACTTTTGATTTGTTTTCAAGTTCAGTGCATTTTTTTGTTAAAAGGAAGGCAAACTCCACTATCGAACAGCAAAATTGTAAAAGTCAATAAAAACGTGATCGACTTCTAATTTCGACAATTGGAAATATCAGATTTACCAGCGAAATAAAAGTCTTGCCTATTGATCCAGTTTTCTCAAATTGGGTTAAGTTTAACAAAAAAATGTCCATCATAAATTGTTCTACAAAATCATAGAGCTTTAAGGCTATCTATCTTTCTTCGAAGTTCAATAGTTGAAGGATTTCAAAAAACAACAAGACAGTTTTTTTCCATTTTCTTTGCGTTCATTACTCTTTTCCAACTGTCAGTTGGCTATTTTTTCTGTTGACTATGTTAGTCTCTTTCAACTCCCCCTAACTTATCATGATTTTTTCATGGCTCAGCATTAGTTACGCTTTACTATTTTTCAGGTTCACAACTAGTTTACCAAAAGCACTGAATCATCTCAGAGTTATCAGGTCACCAGATATATTTTGAGCATGTCTACAGTGTACTTTGAGAATTGATGGTCTTAATCACCTCATGTTGCATCGTATGAGGGGCAACTGCTATATATTTTTTTTTTTTTAAATTATTTTCCTTAATTATTTTCCTTAATTATTTTCATTCGAGATAAATGTGAATATTTTGGTAGACCTAGTTTTTGATATTTGCTCGACTATAGAGTTGTCTGTTTTTTTTCTGCTTATTTTTAGTTGAATGTTGTCTTCTGTCATCCAATTTCCATGCAGTTTTTGTGATATATCTCAAGAGGTGCAAAGCGTTGCCTCGCCTCTCTGTATAGATTTTAAAAGCATAATTTAAACGGTGGGTCCATCTTTTCAAATTTTATAAGTGTTTTCCACCGAAAATCAGGTACCGTAAATGAACCAAAATGGGTCAAGTGATGTATCATCTAAAAGCACTGTCAAGTTTCATTCGACCATTCGAAAAATTTTGTCTTGAACTTTTTGCTTTTTCTAAGTGGTGATTTTTGATTTCTTTCAAGTCTAGTTTATTTTATTAGTTGAAAGTAAGGCAAACTCCACTATCAATTAGCTAAAGTGCAATAATCTTTTAAAGCGTGAATAACTTCTAGTTTCAAAAATGGACTTTACTTTTCTGCAATCATTTTAAATGCAGTCAATAAAAACGTGATCGACTTCTAATTTCGACAATTGGAAATATCAGATTTACCAGCGAAATAAAAGTCTTGCCTATTGATCCAGTTTTCTCAAATTGGGTTAAGTTTAACAAAAAAATGTCCATCATAAATTGTTCTACAAAATCATAGAGCTTTAAGGCTATCTATCTTTCTTCGAAGTTCAATAGTTGAAGGATTTCAAAAAACAACAAGACAGTTTTTTTCCATTTTCTTTGCGTTCATTACTCTTTTCCAACTGTCAGTTGGCTATTTTTTCTGTTGACTATGTTAGTCTCTTTCAACTCCCCCTAACTTATCATGATTTTTTCATGGCTCAGCATTAGTTACGCTTTACTATTTTTCAGGTTCACAACTAGTTTACCAAAAGCACTGAATCATCTCAGAGTTATCAGGTCACCAGATATATTTTGAGCATGTCTACAGTGTACTTTGAGAATTGATGGTCTTAATCACCTCATGTTGCATCGTATGAGGGGCAACTGCTATATATTTTTTTTTTTTTAAATTATTTTCCTTAATTATTTTCCTTAATTATTTTCATTCGAGATAAATGTGAATATTTTGGTAGACCTAGTTTTTGATATTTGCTCGACTATAGAGTTGTCTGTTTTTTTTCTGCTTATTTTTAGTTGAATGTTGTCTTCTGTCATCCAATTTCCATGCAGTTTTTGTGATATATCTCAAGAGGTGCAAAGCGTTGCCTCGCCTCTCTGTATAGATTTTAAAAGCATAATTTAAACGGTGGGTCCATCTTTTCAAATTTTATAAGTGTTTTCCACCGAAAATCAGGTACCGTAAATGAACCAAAATGGGTCAAGTGATGTATCATCTAAAAGCACTGTCAAGTTTCATTCGACCATTCGAAAAATTTTGTCTTGAACTTTTTGCTTTTTCTAAGTGGTGATTTTTGATTTCTTTCAAGTCTAGTTTATTTTATTAGTTGAAAGTAAGGCAAACTCCACTATCAATTAGCTAAAGTGCAATAATCTTTTAAAGCGTGAATAACTTCTAGTTTCAAAAATGGACTTTACTTTTCTGCAATCATTTTAAATCTGAATTGTTTAATTTTCTGAAGTGTTATTGAAAAATTACCCATGGATCCAGTTGTCTCTAATTGGGATAACTTAAAAGAAAAAAGTGCCAATCATAATTAATTCCATCCAAAGAGCTTGAAAGTGCTTCTAATGTTTTTGGTACCTTCAATTTTACACCTATCCAACTATCCGTTGGCTATGTCGTCTTAAATTTGAGCGAGTTAGGCGAGAGGTAAGTTGTTTTAATATAAGCTTTTGTCTAAGCGGTGAAAAACTTTGTTTTATGTCAGAAAAGCTAGTTTTGAAAGCTTCATTTTGCGCTTTCTTGGCTATACAATTTGTTTTTGAAAAATTCAAGTTATAATGAAAAAAATTTCTTAATTTTGTTTTGTTTTTTGTTTTGTTATTTTCGACTATAACTATAGCGTTGCATAATGTGCCTAATTTGGTTGTTTTCCATGCTCTAAGCCATTTGTATTGCAAAGAAGTTTTCAAACTCTCATCAACCCATGTTGAATAAAACGTTAAAATATATATTTCATCTTTTTGGTAATATGGTGGAAATTTGTGCTATTTGCACATAGAGTAGTCTAACCGGCTACTCTTTTTTCTTTGCAATAAAAACTGTGGTCACAAAATAATTTTATTCAGAATATGAGTCTCTTTATGACAGTTTTGTTCAATGAAGCAAAATAAATCTTCAGTGACATCAAATCAAGTGATCTGTCAACCACTCTTGTTGGAATGCCACGTGTTTGAACCTCGTTGGTCAACATACGAGATATGTCAAGTTGTTGGAAACCGAAATATAGCTGTCAATGGTCGTAGACATATGTCCAGACATTTTGATAGACATGAGTGGCTCGAAAATATAACGGAACAATGAAATCTAGAATCTGCAATAATTGCTGTCATAATGCGTTATTTTCAACGGCTTTCTGGCTATTTTTGATTTCGATTAGATGTGTTTTCTAAGTGTATTGTGTATTGTTTGTGTTTGTTTTTAGGAATGAAAAGGTGCAGTCGGAGTGGTTCGATGAGGCCACCATTTACTTCTCAGACATCGTCGGATTCACTGCCCTCTCCTCCAGCAGCTCACCCGAACAGGTACTTCACAATTTAACTCCTTGGCTAACTCTCACCTTAAACGTCTTTCATTAATCTGTTAACCTCTTTACGTATCCATTGAGCTTGCATTGTCATTACTTTATGTGTCAGCTATTGATGTCAGTTTGAATGTCAAGATATCAAGGCTTATCGCATCTGATCATAGCTGAGTTAGTATTGAGCGAGATTTTTAAGATGTGATCTCTCATCTTGGGATCTTTTTATGCTATAGGTTTGTCAATAACTGCTGTATGACCAGTTATTTGTGAACAACTGCGATATGTGACAAAAAACACCTTACCAAATTCAGTAATTTTCCTTTTCTCTATTTGGATAATTGTTTCAGGTGGTTGATCTGCTGAACCATCTCTACACTCTGTTCGACTCAATCATAGATGAGTTCGACGTCTACAAAGTGGAGACTATAGGTGACGCCTATATGGTAGTGTCCGGCATTCCCATCCGAAACGGATCCACCCACTCGTACAACATAGCCGCCATGTCTCTCAAACTCCTAGAAGCAGTCAAGAACGACTTCGTCATTCCCCACAGACCCGAGGAGAGACTGAAACTGAGGATAGGACTGCACACGGGACCCGCATGTGCAGGAGTTGTTGGCGTGAAGATGCCGAGATACTGTCTGTTTGGAGATACAGTCAACACCGCTTCCAGAATGGAGTCCAACGGCGAGCCCCTCAAGATCCACATCAGTGCACAAACTAAAGAAAGTCTGTCGACATTCAACGAGTTCCTCATGGAGTACAGAGGGGAAATCGAGATGAAAGGCAAAGGCGTACAGAAAACATACTGGCTTAAGGGCCGAAAATCCCAAATCGTGGCCAAACATCCAAAGTTGGTTGGACTGATGGGAGGCAACGAGTTTGGCCCCGGAAGTCGACGAAGTGTTTGTCTACCTACCTCACAAACAAATGCCACTGTTGACAGCAACTTAGACGTATCCAAAGATGATTTGGATAAGAAACACAAATCGTCGACCAGTTCAACTCCGTTTCACTTCGACCATAGTCCATTAGACGATTCTGTTTTTGACGCGCAAAGTCCCCAAAAAGATTCAGCCAAATCGACGAATTCAGTAGCACGCAAATCTTCAGGTTTGTGAAGGCAATATAAATACAAGCACAGGCAATAATCAGTCAATTCGATAACTTGGTGAAATTCAGTGAGTATTGCAGTTGAGCGCAATTAATTTTAGAGAGTGGAAATACTATTGGAAATATAGATAAAGTTTTTTTAAGAGTAGATCAACGTCGTTAAGACTCTTATATAGATCGAGATGATTTTTTCCAGGAATTACTTTTTCGCGGTTTGACTTTTGTTTTCTTTTTAAGTTCCGTTCATTTCATTTGTTAAGGAAAGGCAAACTCTGCTATTAAACAGCATAAGTGAAAAACTTGATCGACTTCTAGTTTTGGGTGTGTTTAATTTTCAGATTTCCCAGCGAAATAAAAAATTTGTTTTCTCAAAAGTTTTCTCAAGTTGGATTAATTTTATTTTTATAATTCGAAAGATTTTTTCAAAAAACAAGTCAATATTTTTTTTTGTTTTCTTGCGTTCAGTGACTCTTTTCCAACGGTCTGTTGGTTATGTTTATTAGTATATATTATCATAATGTTAGATTTTTGACTCGAGCTATTTGATAGGTCAAATGGTATAGCAACAGTTTTGGATTTACCGTGAATCTTTTTCTTTCTTGCAGGTGATGCTCAGGTCACCAAAGCTCACAGCAATGGCGTGAAGAGTTTATTCAACTATAACAAAACGAAGCTGCGACGTCAATTGAGCTCTGAAGCACCTATTAGTAAGGAGGACGAGGAGCTAACTGCCACGCCCAACGGGTGTTCGCCCAAAATAGATGGGTCAAATAAGGTCATGATGAATGGGTCCATAGCTAATATGGCACAATTAAGCCCAGGTTCCAATCGAAGCTCACAGCACAACGTATCCACTGAAATGAGCAGCAGCCACTGCTAATTTATTTTCTCTATCTTTTTTCTAGTCAACTCTCGAATAAACTCTTTCTTAGTTCTTAATTCTTTACATTTGAATTAAAGTGAAAAAACTCGTCTGCTAGTTTTAAATCATTGTTGATAAAAGATCGACATTGTTTGTGATTTCGAATTGATTCGATTTAGAGTTATTGCTCAGATTGCCAAAAAATTGAACAAAAAATTGCTTGTAGCAGTCGAGTAGTATCAGTCTATTTTGCAACTATATCAATCTATCTGCGCTAGTTTAGTTTAAAGATAATATGTTCTCTATATAGCCAACGGACATGCTCATTCGATGTTTTATTTGGTGCTAATTTGTATAATGAAAAGAGAAATGTCCCCTTTCGAAGAAATAATTATTGATGTAAATTGCATTAAGTAATTCTTGACTTCAATATTTATTTCAATAGTTCAGTTCGTAATTTGCATTTCGGAAGATAGAGAAGAGATGCTCTATCTAACTTAGCTTGTTTTTGTTTTAATATTTTAATTTTAAATGTAATGAGGGTTAATTCAAGTCATTATTTTTTATAGCCTTTCATTACCTAAAGCCCGAAAGATTCGTCACCTATGATATATATTTTTTTGAATGGGGGCGGATCTAGGACTAGGATTTTCTCGAGGGGGGCGGATTTTCGAAAATTTTGACCTTTTTTTAGGTCGACCAAATTGATTTTTCGAGCTCTCCCCAATTACTATTAAGACCCTATATTGATCAAATTTTCTCTTGAGTACAACTGATTAAGTAAAAAAGCAAAAAGCGCTACAAATTTTTGACTTTGCAATTCCCTTAGGATAATAACTGAAAAAAAAAATTAAGTTTTGGCAGTTGCATTTTGGGCAAAAAGAAGTCAAGCGTTTTGACATCTTGTTGTTAAAAAAAACAAAAGCCATTGAGCAAGCAAATGATAGTTTCAGCAAATTAACTGGTGATTAGATAAACCTCACAAGTATGCGTCAAAAAAGTAAGATGGGAACGTAGCTGGAAACAATTTATCGAAGGGATTGATGTTATCTTCGGATGTAACAAGACTCAAGACTTCTTTACATCGGATAGTACATATCTAACTATTCGTGGCACTCTTTTCCGTCGTGAAACTCATCAAAAGGTAGATAAATTTGCCAATTTAAAATCAAGTGTGATTAATTCATCCCGGGTCGGGGTCCTAGACTCATGTCCATACGCGACTTTGTGGGTCGCGCCGCATTCCGATTTAGACTCAAATTGCATAGTCAAGCCGAGAGCTGGAGTCTCTTAAGTCTGGACATGGGTCGCGCCGTGGGTTACGAAAGTCTGAACATACCAAAAATGGCCGAAAAAGTCTGGACATGGGTCGCGTATGTCTGGAAAAATGAAATTTTGGTCGCGCAAAGCTTTGCTGTGATATACGAGCAGTCTGGTTTGATATCGATTTCAAATCAAAACACAATTAAAACACGGTGAAAGTAATTCAACTGAGTCGATAAAAACCATTCACAAACTGTCGTTTTTACAAGCCGACGGAACACTGAATCCGCACCCATTAGGCTAAATCAAAAAAGTTTTGTTGATTTTAGAGTTATCATAGTACATGATTGCTATCAAGCCGTTAGATACCTTGAGCTCTAACGGCTTTATAGTAAGGTTGATAACTTCGAATCCTATGATAACATTAGATCAACAAAAATTGTTTTGATTGCGCTTAATGGGTGCTGATTTCATGCTTCGTCTGTTTATCAAAAAAGACAGTTTGTGAATGGTTCTTATCGCCTCCTTTGATTTAATTTCTCCGTGTTTTATATCTGTTGCAGATAAAATCACTCTGTTTGTAATTGATAAGATAAAAATTGGTTCGTTTTGATACCCTATTAGGTTTTAAGCTAGAGTGCTCGTATCTCAGAGCAATCACTGAATGTTCCGACTGCCGATTAATCCATACCGATTAGTTTTTTTGGGGAAAAACTATAAATTTTGGAAAACATCAAGGATCAAGTGTGAAAATTTGAGTCACACGAAATAAAAATGACGAACTAGCTAGCCTCATTTCAAGTTTGGAACCATTTTGTTGTGCAAAATCCATCGTAAGAAACTGTTTGCGTAACTAATGTGATTTTGATCTAATTTATTTTCGCTCTTATTCATAAAGATTTTTTAAAGATTTGGTTTTTAAGATGACACACCTATTAGCGCTAGTTGTTTTTAACGTATTTGTTTTTGAAACTCAAATTTTGGCCCGCTTTCTGAGTTTTCTATGATTACATGCAAATTTCAATTCTTATTCTGTAAGGATATTGTTCAATTTTCTGTATGTTAATCTTTCAAGCAAACTTTACTAAGTATTTTACCATGGGTTGTTGCTTTTTGGTTAGCATTAAGTAGGCATTCTGTAGGCATTCTGTCACCATAGCCACTAGCAGCGGTATTGGAAAAATACCTCGAATTTTTTCCGGGTGGCAATTTGAATCACATTTCATCTGGGCTCCTTGTTTTAGGTAACCTGCTCAAAATTCAAAATGGACAACATAGCTATTCTTTGTTAACATTTGCTCATATCTGGCAATTCGAGTGTTTTGGCTCTGTGATGATACATTTGATGGCGAATTTCAAGCAATGCTATGTAAATGGTGAAAAGGATACGTTTATGCTCGAATAAAGCCATGTTGACAATTTAATGACGCTCAGTTTCAACCTACCAAAATGACTACAAAATTTTTTAAAAAGTTCAAAAAAGTGTTGCTGAACGAACTTTTTCAAACTAAGGTTATGTGATTTTTTATTTTTTTTTGTGCAGGAAAGCTTGAAACTTATTCGCTCAGCAGTTTTATGATTTTGGCAGTTTGACATTTGATTTTTTTCTTGGATAACTTAAATTCACATAACAGAAATGCAAATGAGCAAAAAATGGCGCTGGCTTTTACTTGTAACATTGGGTTTTGATTTGAGAATTCCCGATGCGAGTAAAGACAACAGTTTGATGCGAAAATTTAGTTTGTTCGAAAATTAGTGTCCGCGAGCTGTTTTGGTTTCTTCTGTTTTTACCCCGTTGTTTGAACCCTAGCACTTTTTACTAATAGTGAACCCTAGTGCTTTTTCCAGAACCTTTTTATATGAAGTATTTTCACATCCATATTATTTTTTCCGATTGTCAGAAATATGAACTACTTTGTAAAGCAGACGCTATCTTTGATTTCGGTTTGAAAAGGCCACTTTTTGGCTTTGTTTCAAGTAAATCAATTATTAACGAGCTAATGTAAATCATTCTCAGTTTTTCAATTTTGAGATAAGAGATCAGACAAGAAATTGAAAAGCAGCAGTTTGAAATGATTGGCTTGAAAATTCGGAAGCTTCTTGTTTCAAAATTCGGAAGCTTCTGTTTCTAATCACATTGACTGAGGTTTAACTTGAGCACTTAATTTGAAGAGTTAATTTAACTTGAAGACGTACTGTACTACAGAGTAAGAGAGTTAGATATTAAGGATAAAATCATGTGGCAAAAAAATGTTTGTCTTAAGTTATTTGGGGTAATCCATCTTGGGTTAAATAGTGTAGGGTGTTGCTTTGCTAAATATTTAAATCCGCCATGATTGTTGTAGAGCTCAATTATATCAACTTCAGGTGTTGTTGTTGCAAGCTTACTACTTGCTGGTTTTCGACAAACGTCTGTTGGGGTTAGACCTCTCCGAATTAAAGGACAGTTACAACGGGTTGGTGGATTGGAAATCAGGGACTGTTTAGGGGGACATTGGTCAAGTCTTTCTTTATTAATTGAAGTGTTTTAAATGGGGCTACAAGCAGATGAGTTAAATGGGACTATTACTTAGTGATATTAGAAAGGATCGAAGTTAGCTTCTCTTTCATTTATTTATCAATGTTGTAATTTCTTCTATAAAATGCTTTTGTTGTTTTCATTAAGCAGCAATGACTTAAATGCTTAATTATTGAACCTGAACCCCAATTTTCAATCATATTATATTCGAATCCGCTACAGGTAGTTTTAAGTTTTTCAAATAACCTGTAGACAGGAGTCGCAAGCCAGGACCTTGGATTTAGATGTTTTTATACTCGGGCAATGTAAGTCCTGAAATCTCAATCATTGTTGTGTAATTAAAAATTTTCAATGTTGGATGACTCGCGTAAGTTTTGTTCTGAGGTTTGATTTTCAAAGCGAGCATCTCAAATTACGCTTTAGGTTACAACTGTGGAAATGGAAATGGTGTGATAATTCGCTCTAAAATAAGGGTTTTATTAACATCATTCCCATCAGTTCGACATATAATCGGCTAATTTGGTTCAATTTTTTCAAGTCTAGCTTGGGAATAAATCAATTAATTTCTCAAAGATTATTTTCGACCATTGAAAATGAGGAGGAATTTTGTATTCGGGTTTTAGTTTTTTTTTTCTTCATTTTTTACTTTTTTTTCCACGCAAAATCGGGTACCGCAAATAATTATTGGACAGGCTTGAGTGATATATCACACTAAAGCCGTTCTAGTCGTGATTCGAACGACCTTAAGAAATTCCTCAGTGTCGAGAAAAACCGGTGTGGAATTTTTGATTTTTCGTCTGTTTTCGATTGAGTAAAGCGATCGAGTAACGTTTATTATTTATGAAAATTAGAAATATAGGCAAAAAAACTTGATTTTATTTAAAGTAAAAAAAAAACTAGTTTTGGAAGCTTCATTTAGGTATTCTCTGGCACAAAAAATATTAAATTTTTAAGCGCAAAACACAGAAACAGTTTCTTTTTTTTTAAATTTTTTATTTTTTGAAGACCAATGGATTCTTTTATGCCTAATTCCTAGATTTCGTATAGTTATATCATCACACGACGTACAAAAAAGACATTTACTTGAAGACAAAAAAGAAAAAAAAATGTGGTCGGAATCCTTGTTTATTTTGCTAAATTCAAAAAGTTTGTTTACTTGAGTTTTTGCACCTTTTCTAATATCTCTGGAAGCTTGTTGAGCTTGAGATATAATCTAAAGCTATTTTCCAAAGTAATTTGCGCTTTACTTTGCTAAATGTAAGCGCAACTTTCATTTTTTTTAGTAAGTTGCGCTTGACTGCGCTTAATGTTGTCATCAGGAACGGAAATAACTGTTCGGTAATTTTAAATAGCAATTTTAAATAGCCGTATTCATTGCTACCTGATTTGTTTTAGCCAAGCGTGTGTCAAAAAGAATGGTCAAGGCGAGTGCCGAGATTTTTAAAGCTCCGCTGTTGGAAGCTCCTATTTGCACGAGCAATCTTGTTCTTTCGAGGTTAAGTTTCTTGCATTTCTGAACTAATTTTTTGTTAGTATTTGCGAAATGCAGACTATTGCGTTAATAGTCGCAGTTAAACTTGATAGTTTCCTATCAAGACTCTGGGGGCCTAATTTCCTCTTGCTGCTTAATTACGGTGGATCGTCTTTCATTGGATCTTTAGCGTTGAATGCAAATGTCATAGCTTCAACCGCAAGGATATGAACCAAAAGGAGTTTCAGTTTACAATATTTTTGCAATAATTTTTATATAAGTAATGCGCGTTCTCATTTACATGGGATATAGTTA